TTTGCTCATTTTCAATCATATTTTAGTTTCGATTTCTTTTTTTACAAATCATTTTATTGAGGGCTTGTACAACTCTTATCACAATCCATCCACCCATTGTGTGTCCAGCACTTAGTTTCTATTTCTAATGTTTTTGTTTGCATCATCTTAGGCAATGACTAGAGTGAGATTGGACTTCTTGGACCAACTAGCCAAATTTTGGGAACTTCAAGGGTCTACTCTGAAAATCCCTATAGTGGAGAGAAAGATTCTGGATCTGTATGCCTTGAGCAAGGTAAGGCTTGTGCTTGACTTAGAAATCGTCAGTTAATTTCAAAAAACTCTGGTAGAAAACATTATTTCCTTGTGTAATATGTTTTGCATTAAGATGTAAATATGAATAAATGGAAACAACAGATCTCCAAAGTTGTCTTTAAAAGGCATTTTACAATTTGGTGTGAGAGTGATGACTCACTCTGATTAGTAGGCTTTGTGAGACACAATATGCAAAAGAAATGACACAACCCCTTAGTTGTTTGTTTTAATTAAAAAACATTTTTTTTGAGAGTTTCATACTGAGAATACATATAACATCCTGGGTTGAGCTTGTCATCTTTCGTGCTACTGGAAACGATATATTCAAGGAACTCGTTTCATTTAACATTCTCAGGCGTAGTACCTACACTTTTTTATTAATACCTTTAAGTAGTGTTAATGGTTAACTGGTTAGCTGAGCGGCTAACCAATAATAACCAGTAGAATGAATTGGAGTGTGGAAACTTAAGGGTTGAGGAAACGTAGTGGAGGCCACATCTGACCTCTGGCTTCGGTAGGGAGAAGGAGTTTTTCTTTACAGTAGCCCAGAGCCAGTTGCCACAAGCTGAAGTCAGACATGGCCTTTACCATCCCTGCTCTGCCTGCCCCAATCCTCCTCTTAACCCCAGTCTGACACCAGCCATTTCTCTTGAACATTTTACTTCTCTGCTGGGTTCCAGGATCCATGGCAGTAGCCATACACAACTCACAGACAGTACTCACTATTAAGGGGTGTTGTTAGGGAATTTAACACAAGTCAGGATCAGTAAACAGTAAGAACAGTCATTGGTCCACATCAAGACCTTTCCTCAGCCAGCAGGCAAATCTTTGTCTCTGGTGTCATCTTCTCATCCCTTGGCTTCTGCTGCTGTGGGTCAGCAAGCCTGCCTGCTCTCCACCTCACTATCTCAGGGGTCACAGCCCCTCTGCTCTGCCTTGATGTGGCTCCTTTGTTCTGTCCTGTGGTCACATCTTCTGATGCCTTTGTCTTGGCCTCCGCCTGGCAGACACTTTAGGCCAGGCATCCTCAAACTACAGCCCGTGGACCACATGCGGCCCCCTGAGGACATTTATCCTGCCCGCCGGGTGTTTTTGCCCCGTTTTGTTTTTTTACTTCAAAATACGATATGTGTAGTGTGCATAGGAATTTGTTCATAGTTTTTTTTAAACTATAGTTCGGCCCTCCAACGGGTCTGAGGGACAGTGCACTGGCTCCCTGTTTTAAAAGTTTGAGGACCCCTGCTTTAGGCAGAGATCTCAGACTTGCTTTGCTGGTGGCTCTTCTGCCTTAATAATGGTCCTCTGTCTCTGCTTCCAAGTTAGCTCATTCTTACAGTCAGAAAAATGGCAACTAAGCCTGAGCAGCCTCTATGAGTGCTTCACACACCCATTATTGCATAGCCACACCCAGCCGTTTGGTGGGCGTTTCAGAGCCATGCGTAAGTCTTATGAAGAAATTTCACTTCCACCACAGAGTACAGAGTTTCAGGCTTATTTTTGCCCAACCTGTTGTTAACCTTCTAGCATTACCTTTTCTCACATGAAAAACTACCTGACCTGCAACAAAGATGATTATAATAATTATCTTTTTTTTAAAAAAACACCTTTTACCCCCCCCCCAAAAAATATATATACAGTGAACCCTCGCCACTTTGCACTTCGACTTCCGCGTCTTCACTCTATCGCGGTTTTTGCATAACAGCGCATGCTCTGTCATTACTGCCACTGATTGGCTCATACTGTACACGCTTGATACCATAAATAATAGAATAAATAATAAATGATAATTGTAACGTCCAAAATGTTTTACTGTATTTTCCCTTTTTCGTTTAATAAATTGGACAATACAAGTGTAATGGTGACTAAAGGGTGTTTTTTCATGTCCTCTATGCTCTAACTACGAAAATATTTGATTTACAAATAAGGAATCCTACTTCGTGGAATTTCATTTATCACGGTAGGGTCTAGAATCGATTAACCACGATAAACGAGGGTTCACTGTATATGGCTTTTCTGACTTGTGGGTGAAGATAGCTTGCTTATTTGAGGAACTTTGCAAAACAACATTTTTGTGACCTTTCATATCCTCTTATTGATACATTCTAGAAACAAAAACTTACTTTTACCTACTGTATATACTCGTGTATAAGCCAAGTTTTTCAGCACATTTTTTTATGGTAAAATTAGGTGCCTCGGCTGATATTTGGGTTGGCTTATACTTGAGTATATACTGTAAATTGAAGAATTCTGACTACTTTCAAGAAGGATAGTAAGAATAATTATTTAAGTTGGTCTTTATGTAATATATTAAAATTAATTTCAGGTTAGAATTCTCTCACCAAACAGGAGAAGTGTGTCTTTATTAGAATACAGCTGTAGACTTGTTTTATCAGTCAGGTAACAGTGTCAGTTATTAAACACTGCACCAAGAATTGTCTGGTGTAGTTACATTAAAACCTGAGACCAAAGAGCAAATGGTGGTGCATTTGACCAGTGAGTTTATTTCTTTTTTGTAGGGGACATCACGATAAAGTTTTCTTGCGGCACCTTTTTTCATTTAAACAATAACTTTTGCTACATGATGCTATTTAAGGTTCTGGTTACATTTGATTTTAATTGTGTAGTTTGAATAAAATAAAAACCATTTTCTGAAATAATTTTATCATTAATAACAATAGTATTGCAATCCTTAGCCACATTTCATTTAGGTCAACTGTATTTTTATAAATGCTTAATGGAATTTGCCAAAATAATTATAGAAACAGTTGATCTATTAAATTGAAATGGTTTCGATATCAGTAATTTTCTAACGATAAGTCATAGATTTTCGAATTAGGAAGTGGCTTTCGAGTTACTTTGAATAATTTGAATAATTGTTATTAGTCATAGTAATTTGAATAATTGTTCATGATTCTGTTAGATAACATTTGTCTTTGGACTGCTTATCCCATACCAACAAACCAACTTCCTTTTTAATTAAAAGAGGAATGCTACTAATAAAGTATGCCATGTTTAAGTACTTAGGCAATTTATTGAAAACCTTTTGTGATTAAGATTGTCTGCAGTTTATTGGGTTTTACCTCCTTAGGGTTTTTATATGCCCTTAGGTTTCTCTTTCCCCTAACAGATAAGTAATGCTTGTCAAACTGAGATTCAGAGCTAAAAAGGAGACACGTTGTGATTTGCAGTACTTTTATTTCTGTTTCTTAAATGTTATAGTGAGACTGCTACTTCTCACCACCTTAACTTTTTTTAACAATTAGTAACATATAAGTGCTGTATACAGATCTTAAGTGTACAGTTAGCTCAGTCTTTATGTATTTATATATCCGTATAACCACCACACATATCACGATGTAGAGTATTTATCCCAGGAACACGTTAGTGAGCTTCCTCCCCCTCTGACAGTGCCTCTCCAGAAAGGTCACCAGTGTTCACCTCTGTGTCATTGGGTGACTCTTTCACTAGAAAGAGACAGATTGTTAACTGGAGCATCAGAAAAGTTCGATGTTTGAAATTTCTTAGGTATGCCCTGTACCTTTTTACAGAAACGTTATTTTTGGCCGGCAGCTGATTGGCATATGTTGAGTTTGTTTTATTATAGATACGTGATGCGTTTGAAGCAGTGATTCCCACTGCTGTTTATTGGAACCAAATTTTCAGTCTCTTCTGAGTCATTAAATTGTCATTGTGATGGCTTCCAGTCTTGATTAAATCCCTTCATCGGTATAGTAATTATTTTTGATAGAAATAAGTATTTCTTGGGCTGTCTCTAATTTAATGCAGTTTTGCATGAATAATTTCTATTTATAAGCACTTCAGCAAGGAACCATTCAAGTTCTTAAAAAATAATTCCCAAAGGAAAAGAAATACCTAAAATAGAAACCAGCATTCTCCTTCCTCCACTGCTCCTTATCCCCATTCACCCTTCTTCAAGTTAATCGCTCTACTTCTAGCTGGTCCTGGTTTTTGTCTTTAGATTTTCAAAGAATGTGCTCATTGTGTGGTTTATTTTTAGTGTACTGACTTAACTAATAATGATTTGGAAGAGGTGTAAAAAATCCAAATCTTCCCTCTACTTATTATACCCTTAATGGTTAAGGTCCAGTGTTTATTAATCAAGTATTACTGTGATAATAAAAATATAAATATTTATATCTGAGTCTTGTAGTGTGCTCTGTATGATTCACTTCCTTGTACCAATTTTTATTTATTCTTGATGAATAATCCCCCTCCTCTTAAAATTGTTTACATTTTCTTTGTAGGGATTGAAATTTTCAGAATTCCCAGTAGAAGTGTAAGCCTTTGAGTTTTTCTGTCCATCAGGTCATCTGTCCGTGTTTTCTTCTGGGAGACATTCCTCTTGTTTCTTCTTTCCAGCTCCTATTCAGACTGGTTGCCTTTTAAGTTAGCTGTCAACCTTGAACTCGCTTTTACCACTCTTATTCTGGAAATTCTTTATGTCTTTGTTTGCGGTAGATCTTCCTTTTGGTTGGCTTATTCTCTTATCTTGGTGGAATAGTGCCTCCACTAATTACTTAAACATGTTTTTAAAAAAGATTTTAGAGTTTTTAAAATCTCTGGTGAAAAATCCACATAAGCAGTGCAGATCAAGACTGTATGGTAGAATTCTGACTCTGTCTTGGTGCCAGCACCAGTGTGTTGACCGCTGCAGTCCTCCGACTCTCTCCATCCTGTGCTGCGCTCCTTGTGTTGTTTTCTTGAGGTCTTTTTCTCCTCACACACACCATGCCCTACGCGTCTGTGTTTAGGTTCATTTTTCTTTGCATAATCCAAAGAGTCGTAAATCATGCCAAAGCCAGTAGTCTTGCCATCACCAAAATGGGTTCTGATGTGGTCTTGTACATTTTGACTAGTTTTTCACAAATTTCTGTCTTAGGCACTGTTGCTTTCTCAGGGTGAAGGACATCAATGACCATGTGTTTTCACTGAAGTACTCAGTTGTTCATGAACTTCCTGGTCCCAATAGTTACTGTGTCATTTATGATGGCGGAGAATGCTCAAGCAGGCCAGAGATGGGAAGAGGAAAAAAAAAAAAGCTCCACTAATTTCTTCAGCAAGATCATAAAAGGGATAGAATTTTTTTAGGATATTATCTAAAAGTGTCATTGTACCCTGGTTTATTAGTAGTTTAATGATATACCAAACCAAACTCTGACATTGAGTTGATTCCAACTCATAAGCTAGACCTATAGGACAAAGAAGAACTCTTCCATATGAAACCAAGGCTGTAATCTTTAAAGAAACAGACTGCCACATCTTTGTCCCATGGTGGCTTTAACCACCAACCCACCAACCCACAATTAACAGCCAAAAGCTCACCCACTGTACCAGGAGTGCTCCTTAGGATATAGAAGTCTAAACTTCTAAGTCACATTACTTCAGTTTTTGCAAGCTTTACTACATAGTTTCCAGTGCTACTGTTGAAAATAATGATTTATTAATCCTTGTATCTTTGTATGCGACTATGTTCCTAAAAACTTAGGATCTAATCATTATTCCCAGTGTTTTAAAATGTAAATAATATGTATTGGCATGTTTTAATTTCATTAATAATCTTTTTAATATGAGAATTCATGTCTTTCATTTCCTTTAATATTTCTTGTGTCAATTCTTTGATAATTTCTTTCACTTACCCGTTCCCCCTTTTGGACATTGATTAATTAGCTGCGAGACATCTTTGGCCGACTCTAGTTTATTTGCCTGTTTCTTTATTACCTTGGAGCCCCTGCTACTCCAGTCTTCTGCTGGGATAGTTGCCATGCTGACTGGAGGAAGTCCAAGGGCTTTTATTTAGATTTTCAATCCATCCTGTTCTCTGCTGCAGTACCATCCTAGTTTTAGAGTTACTGTGCTTCTGTTTCTCTTAAGCCTTTCCAGGTTTTCTTTTACAAAAGGTTCTCTTTGGGTTTACTTCATTTTTTCGAAAATATTTCCCCCCTTTTCTTTTGCTTGCTAAGTTATCACTCATAATCTGCTTTATAGCCTTTTAAAATATTGTTTATATTTCTTGTTTTTAATCAGTTTTTTCCCAACTTCTATCTTGCGAGTATGCTTTTTTAGTCTGTTAATATCTTTTTAAGTGCTGTTTTGAGAGGGAGCTTTGTTTTTTTTAACCATTTTATTAGGGGCACATACAACTCTTATCACAATCCATACATACATCTATTGTGTAAAACACATTTGTACATTCATTGCCCTCATCATTCTCAAAACATTTGCTTTCCACTTAAGCCCCTAGCATCAGCTCCTCATTTTTTCCCCTCCCTCCCCGCTTCCCCATCCCTCATGAACCCTTGATAATTTATAAATTATTATTTTGCCATATCTTGCACTGTCCAGTGTCTCCCTTCAGCCACTTTTCTGTTGTCTGCCCCCCAGGGAGGATGTTATATATAGATCTTTGTAATCGGTTCCCCCTTTCCACCCCACCCTCCCGCCACCTCCCAGTATCGCCACTCTTACCACTGGTCCTGAAGGGATCATCCACCCTGGATTCCCTGTGTTTTCAGTTCCTATCTGTGCCAGTGTACATCCCCTAATCTGACCAGATTTGTAAGGTAGAATTGGGATCTTGATAGTGGGTGTGGAGGAAGCATTTAGGAACTAATGGAAAGTTGTATGTTTCATCATTGTTACACTGTACCCTGACTGGCTTGTCTTCTCCCCGTGACCCTTCCGTAAGGGAATGAATGTCCAATTGCCTACACATGGGTTTTGGGTCTCCACTCCGCACTCCCCCTCATTTACAATTATGTAATTTTTTGTTCTGATAATGCCTGATACCTGATCCCTTCAGCACCTCATGATCACACAGGCTGGTGTGTTTCTTCCATGTGGGCTTTGTTGCTTCTGAGCTAGATGGCCACTTGTTTACCTTCAAGCCTTTAAGACCCCAGACGTTTTATCTTTTGATAGCCAGACACCATCAGCTTTCTTCACCATATTTGCTTTATGCACCCGCTTTGTCTTCAGTGATCGTTTCAGGAAGGTGAGCATCATGGAATGCCAGTTTATTAGAACAAAGTATTCTTGCATTGAGGGAGTACTTGAGTTGAGGCCCAATGTCCATCTCTCACCTTAATACTAAATCTATACATATATGCACAGAGATCTATTTCCACATGAGAGAGAGCACTTAACTAGAACCTTGTTCCTGCTTTATATCTGATAAATTTAATTTTAAGCAAACTTTTGTTTTGAGTTTCTCTTTTCAGGTCTTTTGAGTATATACCTAGAGTAGAATTGCTGGGCAGTACAATAACTCTGTGTTCAACGTTTTGTGGAACTGCTGTGTTTTCTGCAGGGGCTGCTGTTTGAAATAGCAGCTGCAACATTTCACTTTCCCACCAACTCTCTTACTTTCTCGCCAACATTTGTTAGTGTCTGTTTTTCTGACGATGGTCCTTCTAGAGGGGGCAAAATAGTTCTTTGTGGCTTTGATTTATATTTCCCTGATGACATCTTGGGGGAGGCATGTTTGTGTAGTGGTAATGAGTTAGGCTTGCAATCTGCATGGTTGGCAGTTCAACACCAGCCGCTCTGTGGGGAAAGACGGCTTTTTATACCTGTAAACAGTTAACAGTGTAGTCTATGAGTCCACATTAACTTGATGGCAGTGAGAGAGCAAATGACGTGCGTATTGGCCATGTCTTGTAAACCTGCTTTTTAAGTCTTTTGTCTTTTTTGTTTGGATTGTTTGTCTTTTATTTGTACTTTTATAAGAGTTCTTTATATGTTTTGAGGTACAAAACCCTTAGCAGATGAATGGTTACCAAATATCTTCTCTCATTTTGTAGGTAGTCTTTTTATTTGGATGCACAAAATTTAAAAATTGTGATCAGTATCTATTTTGGCTTTTGCTGTTGGTGCTTTTAATGTCATATATAACAATCCATCAAAAGCTAGGTGCTGAAGTTACACCGCTATGTTTTCTTCTAAGAGTGTTACGGTTTGCGTTTTCTTGAGGTTAGGCCGTGAGTCCATTTGAATTTATGCTGTACTTGGCATGGGGTGTGGGTCCAGTTTCATTCTCTTGCATATGGAGACCCGGTTGTCCCAACACTGTACCACTTTAAGACCCCTTCACTACGCTACCTAATTTCTTTCTTGTTCTTTCTCCCTTTGACATTTACTTGTTATGCTAACTGTACCTTGTTTTGTATGCTTCCAGTATAATGAATGTAAGCTCTGTGAGGGCAAAGATCTTTGCTTTGTTTGCTGATGTGCCCTAGAACTGTAGCTCCTGGAACCATACCTGGCAATATTGAAACACTCGGAAGATACATGTTAAGTGACAGTTGCTCTCATCTTCTTCCATATGCTTCTAGGTATCTTACTATGTACACCACTTTGTGTGTTTCTTTACAAAACCAAATTGGTTTTCTTCTGCAGAAGGAGTTCTTCTCAGAGTATGAACAGAGGAATTGCTCTTTTCTTGTGCCTATGAAGTTAGATCTTACAGATAGTTCCCTAGGGGACTTCTGCTTTGGCTGTAGGGTCACCTCTCTTCATGACAGAGTGAAAGAAAGGAACACGTTTCTTTACTGATAAGCATCTGCTCCCTACCTCCCTTACCCACACAATACATAGGGCCCATTTATAATCACAGCTAACATTGATACAGTGCTTAACTGGATCTTTGGACTTTTCATGCTTTGTTTTCTTTATCCTCTAAACAGCTGCAAAATTAGGTAGTTACTGTTATTCCCATCTTAATAGCAGGCTACTGAGACACATGAGTAATTTATTCAAGGCCATACAGCCATTAAGGGGCAGAACAGATTTGAACAGAGGTAATTGTAGCATTTATGCTCTCAACCTTTGATATATGGCATATAAAAGCAATATATGATTAGAGAGCATGTATTTATAGCTTGTTTAACAAATATAGTTTGTATACTGTATCATAATACTCTATACTGTTCTCAGAGTAACTGAAAACTATATTTTAGAGCGTGAGAGATATACACTATCAAATTCTTGAAGCTAGAGTACCTTGTTGTATGTATATTATATTCAATGCCTGGTGTGACATCAACATCCAACCAAATTGGGCAGTTTATATTATTACTGCCTATCTTAATACACTCTGTGTTAGATTTTGGGTAATGCCTCCTACATGTAATCTGACTTTTTATTACCATTCCTTTTGAAAAATTGTAACTGCTTATTCAAATCTATTCTTTGAATTCATTGTTTGCTTGGCATTTTGGTTAAATTCTTTTAAATTACTGATAACACTTTATGATTTCAGAATTTCTGTTCATTTTGAACTATATAACATTCTGATGTTACTTTTGTCTATTTTTTCACTCATTTTATATTGTGAAAGATATAACATCTTGATGGTACTGAGTATGTACATATGCTCAGTTTTCTCTGAATAATGATCAAAATATAAATTTATTACGAGATTTTGAAAACCTGATTTGAGGGTAGGCACAATTAACATTAGTGATAACATTTAAGACCTCCAACCTCTTTCTTAGTTTAAATATTGACAAGTTTAAATCTTATGAAATATTTGTTGGAAAAAATTTTCAAATCTAAGCCTAGACTAACTTTTTATTTTAGCAGACAACATATAGTAGTGATGCTTCCCTTTACCAGGCTTCTTCTCCTAAATGATTGCTACCTTTGTTTTCCAGATCGTTGCCAGCAAAGGAGGTTTTGAAATGGTCACCAAAGAGAAGAAATGGTCTAAAGTGGGCAGCCGTTTGGGATATCTGCCAGGAAAAGGAACTGGGTCTCTTTTGAAGTCACACTATGAAAGAATTCTCTACCCATATGAGCTTTTCCAATCTGGTGTCAGCCTTATGGTGAGAAACATTCTTCTTAGAGTGGAAAAAAAAATGTGCTCCAAATATAAACTTTAGACCGGGTTCAACCCAACACATTAATAGTTCTCTGTGCAAACCAAGGTAGATTTAATTTCTCCAGCACCGGAAATTTGGGGAGCAGTGTGTGTCACATCTGTTTTTGAGGATATTGGGAAAGGAGGGTGTGTAATTTATTTAAAATATCTTTATGACTTAGCTTTTGGAAAAGGTTCTTCATTAATTTTTAAAAACAACTTTATGGTGGTACGATGTACATACCATAGCATCACCCACCTGTAGGTGCACACTTTCAGTACACTTTAGTAAATTTACACATTCATCAAAAGTCATAGCCTTAGTGGCACAAATGGTTAGATACTTGAAAGGTCGGTGGTTTGAGCCCACCCAGAGGCACCTCGCAGGGCAGACCAGGCAGTTTGCTTCTGAAAGATTACATCTCTGAAAATATTGGCACTGGACTCCTCCTCCTCTGCTTCCAAACCCAGGCTGCTCTTGATCTTCTTTCTGTCTCCCTGATTTTGCCCTGGTGACTTGCATTTAGTATAATGTTTCCAAGGTTCATACAAGTTGTAGCATGTGTCAATATTTCCTTCCTTTTTATGGCTCAATAACATTGTGTTGTAAAGCGGTACTACATTTTGTTGATCTTTTTATAAATTGATGAGCTTGTTTTCAGGTTGTAGCTCTTATTAATAATACCACTATAAATACACATGCAAGTCTTTGTGTGGTCATAGGCATTCATTTCTCTTGTGTAGGTACCTAGGTGTGGAATTGCTTGATTATACCTAAGAACGGTCAAATTTGTTTTCCAAAGTGCTTGAACCATTTCACTTTTCTAGTACCATGTGACACTTCAGATTCTTTATATACTTGCCAACATTTGACTTGTTAATCCTTTTTGAATAGCTGTCTTAATGAGAACAGTATTGGCATTCTGCTTCCATAAAGATTGGCAACTTTGGAAACTGTTGGGGCAGTTCTGTTCTGCCTATTGCTCTGAGCTGGAATCGACGGGATGACGACTGGTTAATGGCTAGGTCCTTTCTCAGTCTGGTTAACTTGCCGATTTCTAATGACTAATATTGTTGATTCTCTGCGTGGTGCATACAATTCTCTCTTATAACTAAAAGGTCAGACACCCTGGAAGAAAGACTTGGTGATCTGAGAAATCAGCTACTGAAAAACTTAAGGCGCACAGCTCCACTCAGATATAAGTGGGGTTGCTGTGAGTCGCTTTCCACTCCAAACTGGTTTCGGTTTGTTTGGGATTTGGTACATCTTTTCATGTGCAATTCTTACTGCGTTATCTTCTTATATTTGAGTTGTAAACCTTCTTTTATATTCTCATCATAGGTCTATTATCAGATATATTATTTACAAATATTTTCTCTTTATCTGTGATTCATCTTCATTTTCATTTGGATGTCTCATTTGAAGAACAAAAATTTAAAATTTTCATGTCTAAATTTTTGAATTTTTTTTCCTTTTATAGATTGTTTTGGTATCAGTTTTAAGAAATCTTTTCTTAACCCATCTTCACAATAGATTTTGTGTTTTTTTAAAAATAATTTTATTGAGGGCTCGTACAACCCTTATCACAATCCATCCATCCATCCATTGTGTCAAGCACATTGGTACATACATTGCCATCATCATTCTCAAAACATTTGCTTTGTACTTGAGTCCTTGGTATCAGCTGACTAATTCTTTTTTTTTAAAATCATTTTATTAGGGGCTTATACAACTCATCACAATCCATACACACATCAGTTGTATAAAGCACATTTGTACATTCATTGCCCTCATCATTCTCAAAACATTTCCGCTCCACTTAAACCCCCAGCATTAGGCCCTCATTTTTCCCCTTCCCTCCCCACTGCCCCCTCCCTCATGAGACCTTGATAATTTATAAATTGTTTTTTTATCATATCTTGCGCTGTCCGGCGTCTCCCTTCACCATCTTTTCTGTTGTCCGTCCCCCAGGGAGGAGGTCACATAGTTTCTTGTAATCAGTTCCCTCTTTCCAAGCCATTCTCCCTCTACCCTCCCTGTATCACCACTCACACCACTGATCCTGTAGGGATCATCCTCCCTGGATTCCCTGTATTTCCAGTTCCTATCTGTACCAGTGTACATCCTCTGGTCTAGGCAGACTTGCAAGGTCGAATTCGAGTCATGGTAGTGGGAGCGGGGAGGAAACATTTAGGAACTAGAGGAAAGTTGCATTTTTCATCATTGTTACATCGCACCCTGACTGACTTGTCTCCTCCCCGAGACCCCTCTGCAAGGGGATCTCTAGTGGCCTATTTGTTTTTATACAGAAGTTTTATATTTTATTCTCATATGTTTAAATACATGATCCCTTGGTTAAGTGGTTGGTAGCTCAGTGGTTAAGTTATTGGCTGCGAACTGAAAGTTTCGATGGTTTGCCGGGAGAAAGATGTGCCAATCTGCTTCCGTAAAGATGACAGCCTTGGCCGCTCTAAGGGAAGTTCTGCTCTGTCGGATAGGGTCCCCGTAAGTCAGAATTGACTTGATGACAGTGGGTTTTCGTGTTCCTCGTGACTCAGTCAGTGCTCAACTGCTAACCAAGAAGTTGGTGGTTCCGACCCAGCAGCAGCTCTGTGAGAGGAAGAGGAGATGGCAGTGAAGGTGGTAGTCTTTGAAGTTCTAGGAGACAGCGCACTCTACCCTGTAGGGTCACTATGAGTCAGAATCAACTAGACTGCGATGGTTTGTTTTAATAACAACCCTTTTGGAATTAACTTTTGTGTGTAGTATGAGGTAAATGTGTAAGTGCATTGCTTAGGATGGGGCAAGGCATAAGTCATAGCCATATCCAGTTGTACCAACACCTTTCATCAAAAAGTGTTCTTTTCTCATTGATCTTCTTTGATACTTTTGTTGAAAAGCACTTCACTATAAATATATGAGTTTATGTCTGTACTGTTTTGTTCCCTTGATCTGTACACACTGTCTTGATTACTTAGTTTTATAGCACATTTTGATGTCCAGTGGTGTAGGTTCTCCAACTTTATTCTTCTTTTCAAAATTGCTTTGGTTATTTCCAAACAATTTGCATTTTTGTATACATTTTAGAATCATCTTCTTAGTTTTAATAGCAGCAGTATAAAACCTCCTAGGATTTTGATACAGATGTCTTTGACTGTACATCCACTTGGGGAGAATTGCTGGCTGGTTTCATGCATTTTTAGGCATTTATTGGAAACTTACTATTTCCCCATTGTTTCTCAAGCCTGATTTCTTATCAGTGAATCTGCTTTCTCTGCTCTGATCTTTTAGGGTGTACAAATGCCCAATTTAGATCTTAAGGAAAAAGTGGAGCCTGAGGTTCTTGGCACTGATATCCAAGCTCCCCCAGAGCCGGGTACAAGAATGAACATTCTGCCGAAGAGAACAAGACGTGTCAAGTCTCAGGTATCAATGCCCACGGGCCATTTTAAACAGGCATTTTAAGTGCATTGAGCATGCAGAACAAGTTGTCTGGTCATGGGAGGCCATTCATATACTATTGTTCTTTATAAACTAAAGAAATACTTGTTTCTCATTGTCTGTAAGGTTATTCGCTGAGTTTGGTCTGAAAAATAACTCTGTTAATTTTGAGCAGTTTGGGCAGGAATGGCAAATCGAAGGGTGTCTTGCTGATCGAAGGGTGTCTTGCTGCCGTAGAGCTAGCTTCATAGGTTTGCTGATGAACACTTTATATTCTCATGGTTAGCAGATTTGAGAGGAGTTGAAAAAGAGTAATTGTATTTTTCATTGATTATTCCAGTATATACTGTCTTACTGTCTGAGTCATTTCTGCGTAGTGTTTAGTGCATTTTCCTAATGCATCAGAAAGAAAGTCCATTTCTCTCTTGCCTGCTTTCCTTTCTCCCTGGTCTCTCTTCTTAGGTCTTAGGAGCTGCATGTTAAGTGGTTTGCTAAGACAAGTCTGTAAGCTGGCACAGCGAGGGGCTTAGGTCCTGAGACTTGGTTCATTGAAGTGAAGAAAAGAATGGGCAGGAGTAACAGCTAACTGAATTGTAATAATTGATGTGACTGCATCTCAGGTTACACCAAGTGAGAATGGACTCAGACCCAGCAGCGAGCCTGCTTTTTGAGTTTAAAGAAGCAATGCTAACAAAACGGGAATGGTCATCATCAAAAGTAGAAGTCAGAGAAGCAAACTATTGCCTCTGCTGAGAAATACTGGATCCTGGGTTGTGAGGAGTCCTATCATGCTAGCGGTACTTCCATTTTCTTTTCCAGAGGGCCGGGAATATTTTTCCCCCTTGCCATTTCTGCTTTTCCTGTTCGGAATTTCTGGTTACTGAAATAGCCTCCTTATTAATTTAGCTTCTCACGTGCTTTGAGAGGTAAAAGGTAGGTGTGCTGGATAGGGATTGAATGTAATGAAAATTCTTTGGAAAATGGTGGTACTAGTTTATACAGTAGTAAACTCTGGTTTATTGTCATTCACAGGTTTTTATTTTCATGTAAGTTGATCTCAGGTTTTGATTGTCTTTAGGTTTATAGTGATATCTCTCTCTCTTTTAGACTCCAAACATTGAGGTCTGCTCTCTGACCTGACTCTGATGAATTGTCTTACATGCTCTGTGTACCTAACCATTTGCCAGCTTGTGATGAAATTCCTGTGCTCCCCTTGAAATCTTATTTTTAATTGCCCTTTGTAAATTATAAATAAAAAAACCACATAGGAATTCTTTTTACCCATTGTATCACTATAGTCTGATGGTTGGTATCAGATAGAAACTAGAGCTGCTTCAGGATTTGCAGTGATTTTCACTCCCAGTTTGTCCGTAATTGTTCATCTGCTGTATTGCCAGACTGCCTCTCGTTATTTTTAGCTTTCTATTTCAGAGAGAAAGTACATTTAAAAAGAAGGAACTAAAGTACCTTATAGCATAGCACAAGGGAGTGCTGGTGGCACTCTCAGCTGAGCCTTAGCCTTTTAACCACAGGATTGGCGGTCAAACCTACCAGGAGGCTCTCTGCTCCTGAGCCAACTACAGATGCGGACATCTTCATGGGGTTGCTGTAAGCTGGAATTGACTCTCTGGCAATGGGTTTTGTTTGCTTTTAGTGTAACATACAGTTATCCTGTGGTGCCACAGGGGATTGCTACAGGACCCCATTGGATACCAAAATGCGCTTAGATAAAATGGTATGATGTTTGCATATAACATAGGCTCATCCTCCTATTTAAATCATTTCTAGATTACTTATAATACATAATCCAGTGACATGCAATGCAAATAATGCTTTATGGGTCCCTCAGCCTTTGAGGAATTGCTTTGACCACTTACCATATATACTCAAGTATAGGCCGACCCGAATATCAGCCAAGTCACCTAATTTTACCACAAAAACTGCATTAAAAATGTGCTGGAAAACTCAGCTTATACATGAGTGTGTATGGTAATTACTTTCCAAAAATATTATCCATCTGTGGTTAGTTGAACCCAAGGGTGCTGTGGATGGCTGACTGTCATTGTACACCTTAGTGGAACCTATTCTAAAGAATAAAGGAGTTACAAAGAAATCTTGATGTTTACTTAGTAGGTTTGTTAGCACTATTATTAGGTTAATTCTGAAACTACATTATGTGTTTTGTAGAAAAAAGCAAATGAATAAGTACGTGAATGATGTTGGGAATCCGAATTATCAGTGGAATAAGGGAGATAAATTTATATAAGGGATGGTAAAAGGATCTTGTAGTGAAGAATTAGAATTGGAATTATTAGGAATTAAAGACATGAAATTACAAAACAAAAAAAATGTTTTTTCTTATCCTGACCTCTAAAAGTGTCTAGAAGGAGTGATATCTTAATGGCGACTTGCACATTTTGTGCTCAGATCTTGTTTCAGCATAGCATTAAGACTGCTGGATGCAGTGTTGAAATAGTGCTGAAAGGTCCAAAATCATTAGTGACCGTCCATATACTTTGAACATGTTATCAGGAAGAGACCAGTCCCTAGACAAGGGCAACACACTTAGTAGAGGGATCAGCGAAAATGTGATGGATTGATACAATGGCTACAACAAGAGTTCAAGCATGACAAAAGTTGTGAAGATGGTACAGGATCCGGCTGTGTTCCATTCGTCATACATAGGGTTACTATGAATCGGAGCCACTTGAGAGCACCTAACAAGAACACAGGATCATATGAGCGTAAAATTGTTCTTGGACCATTCTAAACTTGAACAGATAATTAAAGAAGGCTCTTTTAAGATTAGGTATAGCAAGTGGCTATATGCATGGACACAAGTCAAGTACCTCAACTCCCTGTCCCCTCATTCAGACTTCCTCATCTGAGTAATCTCAGCAAGAATTTACTTGTCCCACATTATTTTCCTTCCATTCCATAGAGAGTCAGATTATGATTCCACGGACCCAATCCCCAGGGATGGTGGTAAAGGAACCCATGTGGCTCCTTTATTGATGCTGCAGACTTGGAACTAAGCGGAATTCCAGACAGTAGGGCTGGCCCTTCTGCCTGCCTTTGTGTTCTTTCCCTCCAGCTTGCTGCATGCTACCTGTTGGCAGTGCTGGTGTTGCTGCTCCCGCTGCTGTGTTTCTGTGCCCGGCTCAACCTCCATGGGGGCTTTGAGTGATGCAGTCGGGGACTCTGCATGGAGGGGAACGCTGAAGCATAGCCATGTTCACACTCGCTTGGCGTGTGCATGGGGGATCCAGAACTTTCCTAGTATGCGTTTTTTCCTCTAGTTGAGCTTTGAGCAACTTTCTCTGAGTTTGTGCACCCAGTGGCTTCACCTCAGTTTGCAGACACCAAGATATAATTAATTTAGACAAGGATCATCAATAGATATTAAAACCATTAGGTAAATGTTAACTAGAAAGTGTATTGTCTTAAGAGTTTACTCTGGTTGTTATTTTTTACATTGTGGCAAATATATGTAACTCTAAAAAACTTGAAATTTCAGTTATCTTCACATGTACACTTCAGTGACATGCTCATCATGTTCAACCATCACCCATATCCTCTCCCAAAATATAAAAATATTTTTTAACTTATTGTGGTTTGGGTGAAGGTCCATTATGTATTTTCTCATCACCTTTATGGTAGTTGTTTATTGTTATGAAGGGGAAAAGTATATTGGAGAATATGATAGACGCTATCTTAACCAAATGCTCAAACTAGTGTTACATGTTTACGATGCTCTTCAATCTAGTGTATGATATATAACTGATGTGTTTGGTATCTCTTGATGTAGAGAATTTTTTTAATAGGCAGCCCGAGTTATAATTTGATTCTTTTTAGTCCATTTTCTTAATTACTCAGGAGACTCTCCTGGGACACAAATTCTTAGGAATTTTGTTGAACAGCTAATACTGATTTTATGTACTTTCCCATTTAAAAGTACATCAGAGTTAAGTAGAATCTAAATTGCTTTCTCTCTGATTGGAATCAGTGATTTAGACCACTACCAAATTATTGACCTTACTATATTCCACCACCATTTGTTGTTGTTAACTGCAGTGGAGTCTCTTCAGACTCTCGGCGACCTACGTGTAGCAGAAGGAGGCATTGACATTCGGTGCTGTCTGTGTGACTGTAGGGATGCTGTGTCCGTTGTTGTGTCAGCTCACCTCACGGAGCATTTCACTATTCTCATCTTTACCAAACAGATACTTTTTTTTCTGTCTTTCAGATAGATGTCTTTCCTTTACAAAATGCCTTTTCTAACCATTGGTCTCTCTGATGACATGTCTAATGTAAGCAAGAAGTCTCACCATCTGTATTAGTCTGGGTACTTTGGAGAAACAAATCCACGGCGACTCACGTATA